ATGTGCAGATATATCTACGATCTTCAGAAAAAAGAAAAAATGTAAGAAAATCATCGAGATGTCGCGTATAGGTATCAACCCAATAATGAAGTTGCTGATATGTTACACCCGGTCAGAAAATCATGCTAAGATATTAAATAATTACTTATATAGGAGCTGTGAAGAAGATACGAAAGAACGTTACATTTATTTCATCACTTGCAAACGTTTGTTTGACGTAGAAAAACATACTATGGACTTACTTTCCAGAGAAAACAATGCGTGAATAAAAAATATTTTGTTGAATAGCTCTTGAAGAAGCTTTGCCGAAGAAAAAAAAGGGTTTCACATCTTACTCTTCATTACATGCAAGACTTAGACAAATGTGCTGGGAATTTATTTTCTAAGGAGTCTTGTGTAATTAGAGGACCTTCTTTTAAATAGGATATTCCATTCTGTTAAAGGCTCGAAATTAACCTTCTTTTTAAAGCGGCAACGTAATGATTCAACAAGTTTATATCAAACGTTGAAAAAATCTTTCTCTAAAAAAATTAAATACATTATTTCATATTGTTATTTATGAAATAATTGTTATTTCTACAATATGGCGAAACGTCAAAGTCTTAAGAGGAGAATAATTTTGATTCAAACAGATGATGGAATTTGGATTTTTATATTTATTGCTCAGAATGCAACATTAATGGTCGGCAATGAACTTAACTCTTAAGTGTAATATTAGGTCAGCATTATCGGTATCTTTGATATCCAAATAACCTGGCAAAGTCTTGTCAGAACTATTCTTTAAAAATAGAACTGTTGTGCCTACAATGATCAATTATCAAAGCAATATCCATAACCAGAAGCGAAGACAGGTATTGCACAGATTTGGTACGTATAACCGAAAGAAAATTAATTAAACTTATTATGTGAATTGGAGAAACAAAATTTACTTGAACACTGGAGAGCACAAACTGGCAAGAGAATTCATTTATCCTGAACACATCAAAGTTGATGCTATCATTAACCTTAGCAGAAACGATATTAAAATCTACACTGAAATTCTCACAGGACACTGTAAACTTAATTACTACATGAAGGTTGTAGGTGCGGTAGAAAGTGATTCCTGTCGACTCTGTCATAAGGAGAAGGAAACATCAGAACATATCCTATGCAACTGCCCAGCGACGGCAAGACGTAGACTCGACTATCTTGGAACCGGGATCTTAGTTCCAAATCGAATAGGTAAAATAAGCCCACAGCAATTACGAGATTTATTAATAGTCTAGAAGTGTTTTAGTTGTAGTTGGGCCTTTAGGCGCACAATAGATCTTTTAGGTCGGGGTGTAGTCACACTCCATTATTTCATTATTTAATAATAATTGATCTTGTCAT